TTGTTTTTTTCCCCGCACTTCAACCCTTTGGAACTCTCTTCCATCTTCATATTTTCCTGACTCGTACAACCTTTAACTTTTTAAGTCTTCTAACAACCGTTTCTTTGCTCATTAACTCTATTATTTTTTCTAGTAACTCCCAACCTAATAGTGGTTGCTTGTCGGGAGTGAATCAGATAAAATAAAAATAAAAAAAGTATCTTTATCATAACATACGCGCAACAAATTTCTCACGGTGTTTTGATATTTTTAGAAACGTAAAGCTTTTTTGAAAATTCTCTCCCTTTCGTTTGATATAGTATATAAAATCTTTATATATGTTATGTATATAATATCTATACAACTTCATAAATATTTTATTTTTTATTTTAAAAAATCAAAAAAAGATTTAAAAAAGAAATCTACCAGCGAAAGGATTTAAACCACGGCGGTTCACTTCAGAAAGGCTGCGAGCTAACCACTTTGGCCACTAAGGCGTATTGTTTAATAAATATATTAACACTATTTAATAAACAAAAGACTTTATAAAATGACAAAATAAAAATTAAGGTGATTTTGTCACAATTCAATTTTCAAGTAAAAGTAAAACTTTAATTTGAAGTTTACATAAGTTAGATGTTTACATACACTTTGGTCCATAAGTTAGATGTTCACATACACTTTGGTCCATTTTTTTTTTTAATAAAAAATAAATAGATAAGAGATTTTAGTATATAGAATGTGGAAATGAAATTAACTCAAAATTTGTACTTTTGTGACTTTGACCACGTTTTGCAGATGAACTCCTTATATAGTATATCATTGCTCGGGTGTAATGCCGTAAGTTCTGTATCAAACGCGCATGTATGGGCACTACTACTATTAATTTTAGCAATAATATATAAGATAAATAAAATAACAAGAGATCCAACGACTAAAAACATAACTAACTAAATGTAACTAAAATAAGTCTAAACAATATTAAACTGATTCTATTAACATAATAATAATATCTATCAATAATAATGTCTTTATGTATAAATATAATAATTAACACTTAAATTTTCATATTTAATTTTATGCTGCACAAATACGGTTATACGGTTATAATGTATCAAATAGATACGGTTTTTACCCAAAAAGTTAAGCCTATATCTTGATTGGTTACTTTTATCAATGAAGTTAAACCTATATATTGATTGGTTAATTTTATCAATAAAGTTGAACCTATATATTGATTGGTTACTTTTGCCAATAAAGTTAAGCCTATATTTGCTCATTAAATATAACAAGATGTTTTTATTTATCTATCAATTCTTTCTAAATATTGCGTTTATTGGTCCATAATCCCAGCACCCAATACAGGTGGAATTCAAATCAAATTTTTAATATTACGTTTAATTTTGGATCAGATTGTTTCCAACGGGTTTAACATTGGACTGTTAGGTCCCAAATGTAACAACTAAGCTAGTAAATTTTCAAACACTCTTTCTAAACAACCGTGACAAAAATTGTCTGTTACGGTGACAAATCCTTTAAACGATTCCCGTGTTACAAGAATCTGCTTTATTTAATCCACTGCAGGTTTCTATCATAAAGACACTTGTTGTTGATATATCTGCAACCAAATGTATTTTTGAATCTTTAAAGCGGATATTTTCATTATTGCTAATCTTCCTTGTCTGGCGCGTCCTTGCGTTTTACTGCAAAAAAGGTTAAAATTTGTTTCATCTAACCATCTGACGACCACTTGTGATATGCTTTTTGATGTTTTAAACATAATGAGCTCTTTTTGTTTGTTTTCATTACAGTTTATTGTTGAAGGCTTATTGTACATTTTTTTTATTGAAAAAATATCTCTTTGAGGTATTTAGCAATTGCTGTTGTGCTAACGCTTGTATCAAATTGCTTTAAAATCTTTGTTTGAATGGCCACCAATCTCAATTGACAGTCACTTTTAATTCATTTTAATGTTTCTTCGATTTCATCTTCGGTTAATATTTATGGCTTAAAACCACCTTTTCTGATAAAATTTAAATTTCCTCTACGAAGTCAATTGAATGCTACCTAATATTTGTCACCTAGAGCTTGTCTGAGAGTTGCCTAATCGTTATTTCGCTTAGCCAAATAAATAGCTCTTCTTCTGTCACTTGTAATTGAAGGTCTTCACTTTATTTGAAGATAAAATGTAACTTTTTATTGCAACTTATTCGATTGTATGTACTTAATGCAGACAAATTGGATAAGTCTGGTTGTTCCAAAAGTGGATGTATGAAATGTGGTGAAAAACAAATGTTCGGATTTAACTTAATAACAGACTTTTGGCTCAAAGTGTATTTGCATATATCAAAACGATCTTTCAGTTCCATTATTATTACCGGTACATACAAATGCTAAGTTTGATGATACTGACTTAAATTCATGTTCAAGTAGACTTTTTATAACAACCTATAAGCTTTGTAAGCACTATACATTCACAATTACCATTTATGAATTATCAATTACATATTACAAAATCTAAATTACATGTTGTGTTTTTCAATTACATATGACTATGTTTTAACAACAACATTTATGTTCTCAATTACATCTTGGAAAGGTGTAGTGAAATCCGTGCAATAATGACTTCTATGATGGTTATAAAGAACAACGACTCTGGCGACTGATACTAATCTTTTTTATCAGGCTCTCTAAAACAGGGTCGACGACACGGTGGGGGGGGGGAGCCAGGGAGCACGTGGTCCCCACTTATTTTCTAAAGCCCTTTATTTTTCCCAGAAAATTCTAGATATAGAAGACTTTTTTAATAATTGACGATTGTACCCCCCTCCCCCCCACACACACACACACACTTTGCAACCCGTGCTCTAAAACATAAAAATATAATGTGAAGAATAATAATAACATAAGTAAGACAAAAAAAAAAAAAAATGATCATAAAAAATAGTATTGTAAATTTCTTTTAATTAGCTTACTTTCAGAGACGTATTTGAATTTTTGGCGCCCTGGGGCACTGTTCCTTTAAGCGCCCTTTTTTAAGAATAATGTCAACTTTGATATGGGGTGATCATTAAAAAAAAAAACATTTTCTATACCAACATATATTAAGTTATATTAATCACTATAGAAAATTATAATTTTCTATGTGAGTTTTGTTTTGCAAATGTATTTATAATGTCATTAAAGTTCATATCTATGGTAAGTACAGATTCTATAGATAGAATTGCTAACCTATTAAGACGATCACTTGTCATTCGCGACCTCAAATAAGATTTAACCCTCTTTAATGCTGAAAATGATCTCTCGGCTGAACAATTGGACGTTGGGCAGCATAGATATATTCTTAATGCTATATCTACATAAGGAAACAGCTCTTGAAGTTTTTCAGTTCTGATCATTTTATAAACATCTATTATAGTTTTAGGTCTTAAGTTTTCAGTTAAACTCATTAAATAACTTCTGAATTGTATACACTCGTTAGCAAATGAAGACGAAAGATCATTTTTATATACATTTTGAAGTACCTCTGCTTTTTTGTAAACTTCTGATGGCGACAGTTTTATTATTTGAAATAAAAAGTTAAATTTTTTATTGGCTTCATCATAGCACAATTTTCTTCTTTCTAGTTCAGAATGAAGTTTATCAATTATAGCATAATATGTATTAATTCTTAAAGAGTCTCGAATTTCAAAATTTGTTTCTTCTTCTCTTTTTTCATCTGCAGTTAGTTTTCTTTTTCTTTTGCGTATTTTTCGATATGTTTTGTGTCCTGACTTATTTATTGCTCTCTCTTCATAGATATCAAACATACTCCTTAAATCTAATACATATCGAATTAAAGATTCGTATAAACTTACAACTGTTTCTAAATCAATCTCAACTGACTGCAATTGTTTGCTAGTTTTGTTGAATCTCTCTAGTATATCGCCCCATAATGTGGCCATTATAGCTGTTTCAAGACTATCCAGTTTTAAATATAGCCCGTTAGCTTCTGATCTTGTAATAGATTTTTCTGTTTTATCATCTTTGATAAAAGACAGTGCATTAATTATTTCAATCCAATTTTTGTTTAAACTAATACTTGTGTCAGATCTTGCTGACCATCTGGTATCTGATGTTTGTTTTTTAAGAGATACATTTTCTGTTTTAATCAAATTCTTCTGAAGTATTTCCCATCTATAAGTAGAGGCACTGAAAAATTTATAAATATTTTGAAGCAGAATAAAAAATTCAGAAGCATAAATACAACAGTCCACAGCGCACTCACCAACAAGATTTAAAGAGTGTGCCGAGCATGGTACAAATGTTGCTAAAGGATTAACTTTTTTAATGCGAGCTTGAAGTCCTGTGTATCTACCAGACATATGAGACGCATTGTCGTAACTTTGACCACGACAATTATTAATATCTAATCCATGCGATTCTAAAACTAAAAATACAGCATCTGCTAATTCTTCAGATTTATGACCAGAATTAGGTAAAAACCCTAAAAATCTTTCTACCGGACAGCCATTCTTTTGAACATACCGAAAAATGAATGACAGTTGATCTACATGGCTAATGTCAGGAGTAGAATCAATACTGATGGAAAAGTATTTAGCTTCCTTTATTTCTTTCACCATTTGTTGAATAACATTATCTGCCATTATACTTATGAACTGCTCATATATATTAAATGATAGGTATGATGTTGAACCTTTTCCTTTATTTCCAAACTTCTCAATGTGTTGTGCTAAAAAAGGATCAAACTGAGCAATAAGCTCTAAGCTCATCATAAAGTTCCCATTAGGAACAGATCCAAAACGGTCATCATCACCTCTAAAAGACATTCCACGAGAAGAAAGGGATTTCACAACAGCTACAACTCTTGTCAATACATTTTTCCAATAATTTATTTCTGTTTCTACTTGATACTTTAGCTTTTGATCAACTCGATTTAATACTTCTTTTCTTTCTTTCATATTCATTACACACAATTTGTGGTGTTGTGAATTTTCATGACGCTTGATTTTTTCTTCTCCTTATTTCCAATCTGAAAAACCAACTGTGGCAAACGATGTAGTGCCACCAAATAAATAGCAGGGAGCACAAAATATTGATCCTTTACTTTCTGAGTAAATCAAAAATGTTCGGTTAATTTTTTCACCATTAACAAGAGTAGATATAAATATACTTTTTGACATATATCGAAAACGAGTACGTCTTACCCCACCAATTATTTGAGTGTAAATTCTTTTTGACTTTTGGAAATTATTGTTCTCTAAATTTTGGTTAAATCCATTGATTGATAAATAATCTATCGTTTCTTGATTTTTTATCCAATTGGCAGGATCATTTCTAAAGGGAAAATATATTTGTTTAATATACAAAAACCAAAAAATATTATTCAAAGTTTATAACAAATTGTATAAAAAAAACATTCAAGCATTAGGTAATAGAGATAAATGCATAATATAATATAACTAGAGGATATAGGTATCGTTTAAAATGTACAGAGTGTACTATATTTGTTAATAATTTAATTTCCAGCATAATTTTACATGACAAGCGACTTAAAAAAATAGTCTACCTTTGTACATGTTTATAATTGTAACCTACCATGAAAAAAATTAAAAAAAGCTTACTCAGGAACAATACTTTGTTTAGGAAGACTGTTATGTTCAACCATTGGCAAACGTGGTGTATCATTTTGTTAGATTATCTTTATTAACAGTGAATCTGTGATCATTTTGGTTTCTATAGAGAAAAATATAATAAATTTTGTATAACATGCATGTACCAAAAGATATTATTTATAAATTATATCAAATTTTAAATAAAGATTTTACAATAAACATTCGGCCTTGTTATGTTCATGCATGGACAAACAGGGTGTTTCATTTAGTTCTTTGGATTCTGGAGTCAATAGAGTTTTACTAGTTTCAGTACAGCTCTTACTTGATAATATTAATATTAAATCGTCTGGATTTGATAGGTTATTCTCATTAACAATAAAGCTGTGATCATTTTCATCGCTTGTATTATTTACATTTTCAACTGAAAGAATAAATAACGATTACTACACAAATCTACATTTTAGATATACATTATTTACATTTAATAATAAATAATATAACAATATGAAGTATAAACAATAAATAACAGAACAATATGTACCTATATGTATATATATTTGCTAGAAAGCAAAATTAATAAAACGTATGGTTTTCTAGCTAAATAAACTTACCCGGCGATGTGTGAAGCTGTTTATCTGTAAAGCTAAAATATGTTTCTAACTTAGCAGTCTTTAAAGGTATTTTTGCTTGGGCTTCATTTTTTGCATGGGTTCGTTTTCGGTTTTCTGCGCCACTAAGCTTTTTACTATGAATCATCATTGCTTTTTAAAATAAGAATCCTAAAAAGTGTGTATTATATATATATTGTTATCATATATATATGATAACAATAATGTTAATACTAAAACTAAAAACAATAATCGAAATACGAATATTTACCTTTTTCAAGACTGTATACTGTAATACAAGGGATTAAGCAGACAACATACCGAAGAACAAAATACTTAGGCCAACAATAAAAAAAATTGACAGCAATCTTAAAAATTCAAAATTATATTGTGCACACGTGGTATATACAAGATGGTTAGCAAAAAAGGCGATCAAAGTCAAATTGCTAATTTAATATAATTAATGCGTAATTTATTCTGCTCATCACTTCAAATTATATAAAAATAAATTAAAAAACAAACTGATTATTTAAAGTTTAAAGTATTTTTAAAGAGTTTTTTTTTTTTAGAAAATGTAAAGAGAATCTTTGAAGAATTATTTCATTTTTTAAAAGTAAATAGCTGTGTCTATACCTAAGTATTTCTGTTAATAAAGTCAATTAAGAGTAAAATGAAAATGTTAGGTAAAACGCACCATTTATTTTTTTCTAGTATATTATTTACTAATTAATAAATAAGGATCAAGTATTTGATCAATAAAAATTATAAATCATTTATTCAAAAAAAAATTTAAATTTTATTTATATCAAGATTAGATAGTATATTAAATAAGAACACTCGTAGGAGTAGACCTCGGAGCGCCAGCGTCAGAGTGATGAGCTTAACCGTTAAGCTATCGCTACATACCGTATCATTAAAATATTTATAATAAATAAATAATTTGTTTAGACACGTGACTTTCAGTATCAAATCAACGTTTTTAGATGAATAATTGGCGCATAATTATGTATAATTTGCAAGTTTAATTTGATCTCCTTTTGATTGATATTTTCTTCTGCTAACTAAATTTTTCTAAAATCAACTAGAGATATTTAGTAAGTCGATAAGTAGGTCTATGATTCGAACATAATAATAATATAAAAATTTTCGTGAAATGATATAAATAGACTATTTTACAATTTTCTAAAATTCTAACATTCTGAAAGCTGGCGCCCTGTCAAAACATGGCGCCCGGGGGCCAAAGCCCTCCCTGCCCCCCCTTCCCCCCCCGTAAATACGTCTCTGCTTACTTTTGTTATTTTCTTTCTTTATTTGTTTACTTTTTTTTTCTTTCTTTTTTCTTTGTTTAAATTCTTTTCATATAAGTGATTATTTGTAGGGCCCTGCGAAGCTTCGAAATTTCGAATCGAATCGAATCAAAAATATGATTCGAGATTCAAAAATTTTCAAAAATCGAATCCTTACTTATATTGTTTTTGTGGTGGGTATTTTAGATAATCTGCGCTGAGGCGCTATCAAAATAAGGTTGCTTATCCTTAAATTTTTATTAGTCATTAAAAAGGTTAATCAGGACATGAAGCATCAATAAAGATATTATACAATTGTTTTATTTTATTTTATTTTGAAATATATATTATTAAATAAAAAATGCTTAAATTTAGACTTCAAAATGTTGATTCGAAACGTGATTCGAATCGCGAATCAAAACCTGCTTTGATTCGAAATTCGATTCGAAACAAAAACTGCCGATTCGCAGGGCCCTAATTATTTGTTTTTTATTTGAAATTCTTTCTTTTTTTATTATCATTATTATTTCCTTTGATATTTTTTGTTTACCTTAAAATAATTTTTCAGATGGCTGTTAGTTTTTTTTGTTTTTGTTAATTAATTTACCTTTTTAACAAAAACATTTTTTCTTTCTTTTTGCATTTTTTATTTTACTTCAAAACACCTGATCTAATAATTTACACTAATGTGCAAACATTACCGTTTAGAAAGAAAAAAAAAGAAAAGCCGCCTTTAGTTACAAAGTAAAAAGTTTATTTAACGTGATAATATCGTTGTTAATTGCTTGGTTGCTTGGATACAAAAAAATAAGAAACGAGTGTTTGTCATATATTTGCTCGCGACATAAATAATGCTTCCCTATTATTATCTCCCTATTAAAGTGGTAATTGTTATTATTTGTTTTGGTTATGTTCCTCGAAATTTAATTTAATAACTTTTTTTATAAATTGTACTAACCCAGCGGGCACGGAAACGTCCATATGACGTCGAAAGGACGTCTTTTTAGGACGTCCAGAACTGGTTTTAAATGGCAACGCCAGATGACGTCTTTTTAAGACGTAATTAGGACGTCTTTTTAGGACGGACTAAAGACGTGTTTTGAGACGTCTAAAAGACGTGAATCTAGGACGTTCAGAACTAGTGCTAAATGGAAACGCCGAATGACGTCTTTAAATAACCTAATTTAGACGTTCTTATTTCGACGTCTAAAATACGTGTTCTAACATGGGTTTACTTAAACGTAAGGTTCAAATTTATGTTTTTACAGAACTTCTTGAGAATAAGAAAAAAATAATAAATCATTTAAATTTTTTAATAATATAATTGTGCTGAGTTTTATAAATTACAACTTTGTAAACTTCTTCTTCCACTTGTTAATTTCCAAGAATCGAATTTTCGAACAGTTGACGCCATTCACTTTCTTTTCGATCAGATGCACTCTTTAAAATATTGCCACCAGCATTTTAAAGTTTTTTTTTTTGCTGTAGGAATCAGGAAAGCAATCTTAACCTTTAAAAAAATATTGTTAAGATAAGAATGTAAAAATAAAGGGGAAAGAAACAAATAACACACACACACATATATATTTATTATTTTATAAACATAACATCAAACATCAAAAAATACGAATTTCTCAACACTAAATATATTTATATATTTAGTGTTGAGAAATTCGTATATATTTATGTATGTCAAGTATGCAATATAATTGCGGTATTAAAAATACTCTTTTTATAGTAAAATTATACTTACTTTGAAAGCATGCCCTTCTCAAATGCATTGCATGATGAGCCACCAATATTTAATAACTTCTATTTCTAAATTCAAAAGATAACACTAGTGTAATTGATATGGGACAATTTAGTGTAAGTTATATTGGGCATAGGAGCAATTTCTTAGTATTTTATTCAATTCAAAAATTTTGTGTAAATTATGTTTACTTGTAAAGTGAGCATTATGTATATAATTACAGATCAAAATTTTTTATGTAATTTACCCTTATAAAAAAAAAACTAAACATTTAACCATAATAAAAAATGTACTACTTTTTGCAACATTAGTATCGAGAAATGATTGATCACATTCAAGAGACTTGGCGATAGAATCATACTAGTAAAGATCAAAGCTATTCTCAACTTTAAACGTTTTTTATATTTTATTATCTTAAGATAAGTAAGTAAATGAATGAAAGCCTATATATTATAATTTATATATATATATATAAATTATAATAGAAAAAATATATATTACATCTTCGCTTCCAACAAGGCTGCGAACAACCACTATAAGAGTTTAGAAGTTATTGGAAGAGAAAAGATTAAGTTTGTAGGGCAAGATAACGATTGACAGATGACTTAAAAGATTGCAAATTATATGAATCAGGGAAGCAAGATGAAGGAAGCAAATTCCAAAGAACTGATGTTCGAAGAAAAAAAACTAGCTTTAGAGCAGTGCCAATTATAGTATTTGTAGAAAAGAGAAAAAGAAGCAACATCACGACGATGTGACAATGGTTGGAGATTGGCTGCATAAGCAGGTCCAACTATGTTTACAATGTGTTTTTGCACCTTGTCTAAAAGAGAAAGGGCATCAATAGAAGATCTGCCCCAGATATGGCAACAGTATTCCATACAGGGACGGATTTGAGATTTATAGAGATAGAGAATAGAATCTAGAGTAAGGAAGTGTTGAGCTCGATAAAGAGATGCAACCTTAGCAGATGCTAATTTTGCAATGGATTTAATATACGGTTTAAAAAGATCAGAAGTAAAAGGTAATCATAGAAGGTGAAGGGTATATGACTCATCTAGTACATTACCATTCATAAATATAGGAAGATCAAAATTATTGCGATAACGATTGGCCGAAAAAAAATGAGTTTTATCTGAAATAAAGTTCACCAGCCATTGTGAGCCACATGCTGTAGCAGAGGTGAGATCCTTTTCAAGCTCAGATACCCCCTCCAAGCAATCAGAGAGTGTAGGCTTCTTATCATGACAAGAATAAATAGTAGTGTCGTCAGCGAACAATGCCACCTTAGATGTGATAATATCTGGAAGATAGTTAATGTAAATTAAAAAGAGTATAGGGCCAAGGATTGAACCTTGAAGAACCCCTGAAGTTACAGGATATGAAGAAGATAACTTTTACTATCTATATAAAATTTTTTATAGCTATATATAAATTTTACTAGCTACATCTTTTGAAAGGAAATTCTTAAATGTTCTTTTTTTCTTGCTGAATTGACTAGGTACCTATTTTGAGTATTGAGAAGTATTAAAAAAATTAATTTATAAAGATAAAAGGCCTAAATAGTTAAAATAACTTCCAAGATAGTTATTAGAAGAAAAAATATTACTTACATTACTCTTTGTAAAACTTTAAGATTTATCATTGACTTCATATATTTTCTTTAACTTTGTTTTGGGAAAAGCGAAATTTTGAATCACAGACTTTCAAATTTTGGAGGAGCTGAATGAATTAAAGAAGTTTTTACTAATAAAAATTCATTAGGGTCATTCCATGCCAAGTGGTGCAAAGGTCCCTTATGGACCATCTCAGATTTTATTGAAATTTTTTGATTTTGTACATATATGTGTGAAAAGCATGTTTTGAAAATTTTAGATCAATATATAATATGGTTCTTGAGAAAACGCTATTTAAGTAGTGGGCTATTATGCATAAAATTTCACTCTACAAGAAAAAAGGTTTTTTTCATCATTTTTAACAGCCAATAACTTTTGAACAAATTAGTTTCATGCTTCAGTTATTTTTAGTTAGCAAGTGTGCTGTGGATACATTAGGAAACAAAAAAAATTTCAGTTCTGGCATCTTAACTTTTTCCATAATGGCGGTCTAAATTTGAGATTTTTGTTTTTAAAATAGTTTTTTTTGTGATTTTAATGATCTTTATCTTGAAAACTAGTTAAAAGATTAATAAAAATCAAATTGCCTGCTAATCTTCATGTGGTGGATAAACATTTTTTAAAAAATCAGTTGATTAAAGAGCTGCATTTTAAAAGTTATAGGTCTCCAAAATGAGTCAGATCGAGATTTTTGTAAAATTGATCTGTGATGCAAAGCATCTGTTACCTAAGATGGCACTTTTTTTTTTTCATAAAATTTTTTATACACATCAATTAAAGACTGTTAATTAATAAAAACCAAAAAAATTAATGGGCGCTTATTTATAACCCCCAAAAGGTAGTCTCTAAAAGTCAGGTAAATTTTCCATAAAATTCTGAAATTGACATAATAAATAAATGCATTGAATTATATAATGTTATTTATTATGAAATATCAATTAAAAAATATCAATGTTTATAGCCTTATAATCCCTTTAGATAAAGAACTTTTAAATCCCAATAGATAAAGTCCCCTCCCCTCTGTCCCCTCCCCTCTTCATAATACAATATTTTTTTTAATGAAAAACAAACAAAATGTTTTTAAGAAAATAAACAAAATTAATAAAATTTACAAAAAGTTAAATTTCTCAAATAATAAAATAATCTCATTGATTTCTTTTAAGTCAATACTATAAAATCTTCCACTGTTTGACTGGACTTTAAGAGATTGCACTTTGCATAAAATATGCATCAGAGGTACCCAACAAAGATCATCTCTGCATGGCCACGTGAACTTGTTACATTTAGACTTTTTCATGAATTTCATATTAAGATCTTGATGCTCTTCTGATATACTAAGAATATTTCCTAAATACCATTGAGCATCGTAAACGCAGGCCACATATTCTCCTGGTGAGTAACTTGAAATTTTATTAATAAAAATTCTGCAAGTAGAAAAATCCACATTAGTGCAAATAATATCAAATGAGACTCTTCTTATTTTTATTGAGGTAAGTGACATTGGGATAAAACTGTGGTGGTTTCGTGTCCCAGGTATTGTAGAACAAGTACGATATCTCTCTTCCAAATTAAAGTTTGTAGTATGTGTTTCTATTGAAACTTTGTCAACAAAAAAAAAAGATATTCCTTTGACATGTTGAACACACCAGCTGTACATTTTGCTTGGTGTGTCAATAGGATCGTTTAGTGATTGTAAACTGGCTCGTGCAACAAGACGTTTCACTGTTCCACCAACACCATCACAAGGGCTTTTACCATGCGATGTTGCAAAAAAGTGCCACTCTGCAGTCATGTCAAAATCGTTTTTATGGTAGCATAAGTTGATAAGATTTTTGTAATTTTTATATTGTGATGCAGCTCCATCACTAAAATAGATAATGTGTTCAAATGTTTGTAATTGTTTAAGTTTATCAATAACATTACCGATAAAGCAATGAACAGCATCTGTTCCATGTTTCAGATGATCTGATATAACACAATAACTTTGACTATCAAGTTTTCCATCTTTTTTAAAATACGCAACAAAGGGGTGCACAGTTGCTTGGCTGTTATTCCAGTGAAAACCTTGCACTGCATCCTGTATTAGAAAACTATAGTTTTCCGCAAAGTCAAGAAGAACTAAAGCTTGATTTTCTTTTAAATTAGTTTTCAAATGTTGGTAGTAGGTGGCTTGACTTTTGGATATAAAATGATGCTCTCGTAAACTATCTAATTGTTCATAAACCATTTCAATAAATTCATCTAAAGGTAGAGTTGCTGGTACTAAAGTACATTGGTAATTTGATTTTTGCCATTGATAAAAGTTAACTTCACTAATTTCATTTTCTGTAAACAAAGTGTCAATGTAGTCTAACAAAACCTTTTTAGCAGGACATTTATTGCAGCTATGCAGCATACAATCTCTATTTTCAATGCTACAAACCATTAATTTCAATAAGATTTTGTAATCAGCAATTCCAGGAATTTTCTGTACAAGGAGCTTTACATTTTGATGGTACTGGCAAACACAAACTGCATGCAGACCAGAAGCACCACCCACAGGAATGCACCACTTGGGCCTTAGCTCACAAAATTTTGAAAATCCAACTTTAAGATAATTATATTTCTTTTTAAACTCAATATGTAGCTCTTTCATATTGACTAGTAGAAGTCGCTTTTGGATATGTTGCTTTATACTATCTACTTTAACTGAAACAAACTCTTTTTTTCCTGGACAAACCCTTGAATATTCATCGCATTCATAGAAATGAACAACCTCTGTAATTACATCTTCGCTAAGTTTTCTACCCAATTTTGGAGAAGGTTTTGATAGTATTCCACTTTTTTTCCTTAATTTTCTGGCTTGTACTACAGATCTTTTTGAAGTCAAAAAAAACTTCTGAGTTTTCTCTATTGACCAACTGTCTGGAGTGAGTGTAAGAAGTGTGATTTTTTCAGAATTTGACAATGTTTTTTCAAATTTTGACTTAATTTGAGTCATAATATTGTCTAAATCTGTGTTTGTTTTTTTCAAACATTTTTTTGAGGGTGATTCAATTCCACCAAGTGCAGCTATTTCTAAACCTAGTACATTGGCAACAGCCTTTTGTGTATGAGCTCTTACGCTATCAATTTTACGCTTTCCATATGCAACTCTATCTTTTTTTGAAACAAGTTTGAGAGGTGAGCATCCAAAACTTGCAATACTTGAATTAAGATCTTCTTTTAATGTATGGTTGTCAACATAAATTTCTTTTTCTTGGACTTCAGTTTCTTTTGTATTATGTTTGCAATTCAGAACTTTTCTGCAACTAGTGCAAATTTTTTGACCAGGTATTAAACCGAAATCTTTGGCATATGAAAGACTGATAACTCTAAGAGAATCTAAAAAATAACGGAAATAACTATTAAATATTGTTTTATTTATTTATTTAGGTATTTATTTAGGTATTTATTAGGTAGGTTATTAAGGTATTTTTATTAAATTAAGATATTAAATATTAAAACTTACTTTTCACTTTTTTTGCGTGCTTGTTCAACGGATTACAACAATACCTGCGATGTTCATTCTCATACCTCGACAAGTAAACTTTCTCGTGATAGCTACAAATAAAATCTATGGGATTTATTTTGCTTCTCAAAGAAATAAGCTCTTGGTTTAGTGTAGACAGTTCTTGGTTGCGTTTGCTTTTTTTAGATAGATAGCACTGTTCATTTAATGCTTTACCAATACAGCAAGTAGAAAGCTCAGGCATATTACTTATTATTAATTAGTTCTAAAATACAACAATTTATTTGGTTTTATTAGTACTTTTTATATTGACATACTAGTAATATAGAATTAAATGAAACAATAACTTAACTTTTAAAAAGTAATAATTTTTTATGGAAAATTTACCTGACTTTTAGAGACTACCTTTTGGGGGTTATAAATAAGCGCCCATTATTTTTTTTGGTTTTTATTAATTAACACTCTTTAATTGATGCGTATAAAAAATTTTATGAAAAAAAAAAAGTGCCATCTTAGGTAACAGATGCTTTGCATCACAGATCAATTTTACAAAAATCTTGATCCGACTCATTTTGGAGACCTATAACTTTTAAATGCAGCTCTTTAATCAACTGATTTTTTTTAAAAATGTTTATCCACCACATGTAGATCAGCAGGCAATTTGATTTTTATTAATTTTTTAATTAGTTTTCAAGATTAAGATCATTAAAATCACAAAAAAAACTATTTTAAAAACAAAAATCTCAACTTTAGCCCGCCATTATGGAAAAAGTTAAGATGCCAGAATTGAAATTTTTTTCTTTTTCCAAAGTATTTACAGCACACTTGCTATCTTATAATAACTGAAGTAAAAAACTCAATTGTTCAAAAGTTATTGGCTGTTAAAAATGATGAAAAAAACCTTTTTTCTTGTAGAGTGAAATTTTATGCAAAATAGCCCACTACTTAAATAGCGTTTTCTCAAGAACCATATTAGATATTGATCTAAAATTTTCAAAACATGCTTTTAACATATATATGTACAAAATCAAAAAATTTCAATAAAATTTGAGATGGTCCATGAGGGACCTCGTTAAAATTTGCACCACTTGGCACGGAATGACCCATTAGGCATATTACATAAAATAAATTATATTACATTAACCATTACATAAAATGAACTATAGCCAAAACCTTGTTCTATTTTTTTAAAACCGAAGGCAAAAATAAAAATGAACTTTAGAGTTAAATACATTTAATCAAATAAAATTTCTAACAAAATTAGATACAAAAACTACAAACACATCAATTCTAGATTTCTAAATGCATATTTAAATAAATGCAATATGAGTTTTTGAAATACAAAACAAAAATGTAACATTATTACCAAATACAAACATGTATTTGACCAAAACATATATATCAACTGACACTTGACGTAGTTGACGCTCCTAAAAATAAAATCTTAATTAACAAGTAAATAAAACTTATGGATAAAGTAAAAAATATTCTTACAAGTGTTTTTTTTTTAGCATTAGCATTTTTTTTTTTTTTTCCTGTTCAACTTTATATTGTATCTAATTGATGTTTCACACTATCTATTTCTAAACTTTAACTAATACTACAAATTCTACTAATTTTAACTAATAATAACTAATAGTTCTAAATTTTAACTAATTCTAATAATTTTAAATTTTAGCAAAACTCATTTTTATTTTATTTGACATATATTTTGTATTTTTACTAATAAAACTGACGCTATAAGTCAGGATTTTAAGGAGACATTTTTCTATTATTTAAAAAGATTTGGTCACGAAAGTCAATTTTTTGAAAGAAAAAATAGCAGAATTAAGGAGAAAATAACTACATTGAAAACAGAATCTTATTTTTTTCAATAAATTTAAAATAAAAACAGATAAATTATTATAAATTACCATATTACTTTTATACACACACACACACATATATATATATATATATATATATATATATATATATATATATATATATATATATATATATACATATACATAACCTTTGGAATTAGGGTCGGCATGCAGCAATGCCAACCTAAAAGTGTTTGAGGTCAACAAATAATGCTGACCTTGTTTCTATGTTTAATGGTAAGACTTTTGAATCAATTTTTTGATTGATGTCGACAAATTATTGTCAACCTTTTTTTTCTTAATTCCAAGGGTTGTGTGTATACATATATATATATATATATATATATATATATATATATATATATATATATATATATATATATATATATATATATATATATATATATATATATATATATATATATATATACAATAGAAATATAGGTTTGCAATCAATCAAAGGACTATATAATTTCTTTAATAATAAGTATAATCCATTTACTTTAATAAAATTTCCTAGATGATAAAAAAAAACGAGAAATTAAGGAGTGTTTCTCATCGGTTACTTAGTAAATTGCCAATAACATTCCAACATGTGATATAGTGGTTATTCATATGATAATACAGTTATATAAGAGACAGGTGTGTAGAAAATTTCCTTTAGAGTAAAGGAAATTTTCTACCCTCCTGTCTCTTATATAACTGTTATGACTGGTTTAACTTTTTCAATTAGACTTATTTTTTAGTCAAAACTTTTGAACTTCACTAATAACTAAAGTTAAGTAATTGGTTATTAGCAAAGCTCCAAAACTTGATATTGTAATATTTCAAAAAGTTCATTAACTAATGTAATGGTCCAATTATTTTGAATAGAACAATCTAAAAGTTGTTAATTAAAGATATTGAATTATATTGAATTATCACCATAAACTCTCTGTATTATTAATAGGTTTTTCTTTTGAAAAATATGACTACACATGAGATTCTGCGATGTCTAAGTCTTTCAAACAGTCAGAACTTGGTTCTTGATATAGTATATCAATTATTATACTTGAAATACTATATCAAGTGTCAAGTATATACTTGATATATATATATATATATATATATATATATATATATAAATATATATATATATATATATATATACATATATATATATATATATATATATATATATATATATATATATATATATATATATATATATATACATATATATATGTGTGTATATATATATATATATATATATATATATATATATATATATATATATATATATATATATATATATATATATATATAGTATATTTTATACCCAGTTTTTAACTATTTATTTCAATATCTGTATCAATTTCAATATATGTATCAATATTAATACGATTCTCAAGTAATTAAATGTTTAAAAATATATATAAATTAGCAAGAACCTGTCTATAAGTCACTTTTCATAAGGTGCTTTTAAAATTCTCCTTGAATCTTTGGGAAGTTCCAAACCTTGATTTGGCAATATTTCAAGAAGATCATTAACTAATGTACTGGTTCCATTATAAAATAGCATAATGTTGTCGAGTAAAGACATTGAATTCAAAGAATTATTAGTATAATTGTTCCATGATCATTAACAGGTTTCCCTATTGAAAAATTCGATTCTGCATGAGATGTCTAAATCTTATTGTTAGAACTTGGTTCTTGATATAGCAATACTATACTAATAGTATATCAAGTATATATATACATAGTATAGCATATATTCAGTTTTAAACCGTTTCTTTCATTATTTGTAAAAATTTCATTAACTGTATTAATATTACCACAATTTTCAATTGATAACAAAAACAAAAATTAGATGGAACGTGTCTATTAGTTGTCGTAAAAAGACTTCTTTTGTAATTGAAAAAAAACTTTATTAAAAATGCGTTACTTAAAAATTTTATGAAGTTTTAGCGCTTGCGTGATTTAACTGATTTTTTTTATTTAATAAAGCATTCTGGATATTTTTTGGACGAAAAAATTATTGGACGCGAATAAGACGTTCAAAAGACGTTTAGAATTTTAATGGGACGGACGGACGCGATTTGAACGTCCTAAGGACGTCTTTTTCACGTCCTGTGCCCACTGGGAACTTATATTCGCCGTAATTAACTTCTTCTTTAAAAAGATTTAGAAAAATATTTTTCATTAAAGTAGTGCCTGCCCAATAGGGTGGTTCATAATTATTTTTTTTTATAACTTTTTAATTAGGTGTTCCAAGAAGTTTTTATGATTTTGTCACAAAGCACCTCGAAACAGCATTTAACCAGGAAGTTCATACCTTTCTTAAAAACTTTGCATAAATGGCCAGACCCAGTGGACACGGACGTTAAAATGACGTCTTTTAAACGTCTTATACACGTTTTGGACGTCTTTTGAACGTCTTTTGAACGTTTTGGACGTCTTTTGAACGTTCAAAAGACGTCTTTTTTTGGTCCGGTGTCCACTGGGAAGCCGGTTTCTTACCGCAGACTTTCAGTTCTGGAACTAGAACAGAATTCTGAGCCCTGCACTCTTAACACTACTCTACGGCCACTAAAAAGTAATTTTATGTGAAGCAGCCGGGCACAAAAGTATATAATCCTGAAAAAAAAAATTAAAAGTATGTATCATGATATGTGAATAAAGTTTTTTTTTAAAGGGACGCTAGCTCTTTAGAGCAGTGCCCATTATAGTATTTGTAGAAAAGAGAAAGAAAAGCAACATTACGACGATGTGACAAAGGTTGGAGATTGGCTGCCAGAGCAGGTCCAACTATGTTTACAATTCGTTTTTGCACCTTGTCTAAAAGAGAAAGAGCATCATTAGAAGATCCGCCCCAGATGTGGCAACAGTATTCCATACAGGGACGGATTTGAGATTTATAGAGATAGAGAATAGAATCTGGAGTAAGAAAGTGTCGAGCTCGATAAAGAGATGCAACCTTAGCAGATGCTAATTTTGCAATGGATTTGATATACGGTTTAAAAGAAAGATCAGAAGTAAAAGTTAATCCTAGAAGATGAATGGTAGATGACTCATCTAGTACATTACCATTCATAAATATAGGAAGATCTAAATTATTACGATAACGATTGGCCGAATAAAATTGAGTTTTATCTGAATTAAAGTTCACCAGCCACTGTGAGCCCCATGCTGTAGCAGAAATGAGATCCTTTTCAAGCTCAGATACCCCCTCCAAGCAATCAGAGAGTGTAGGCTTCTTATCATGACAAGAGTAAATGGTAGTGTCGTCAGCGAATAATGCCACCTTAGATGTGAGAATATCTGGAAGATCGTTAATGTAAATTAAAAAGAGTATAGGGCCAAGGATTGAACCTTGAGGAACCCCTGAAGTTACAGGATGTGAAGAAGAGTGTTGTCCATCGAGGACAACTTTTATACTATGATTGGAAAGAAAGGACTCAATAATCTTAAAGATGTTACCAGCTACACCATAAGAAGAAAGCTTATGGAGAAGACCAGCATGCCAAACTTTATCAAAAGCTTTAGAAATGTCAAGTGCGATAGCCTTAACCTCTCCACCTCTATCTAATGCACGGT